AACTGGGTTCATTAGAAGTTAGGCTGTTTCCTTAAAATACTATCTAACTTCACTGCATGAGCCTTTCACACTGGTTATTTGAAGAATTCGGAGTACTAACCTACAGAACTACTCTTGCCTAATTTCTTCAAGCATTCAGGCACTGAAAAACAAAGCAAGATGTTCAAAAAGCAGGGTATTATACCAGTTCTAAACACCGCACACTTCTCAGTGAGCTTACATCATGGCCCACAACGCTCTGAGAGTGCGGTGTGAGAGCCCCCAGCAGCCTTAGGTTTCCACAGTGGCACTGAACTCCACCATGGTAAACACAGCTGCCCCTGTAACCTTCAACTGCCCTGAACCTGCTAAAGAAATCCACCTTTTTCCATCTTTTTTTTTCTTTTTAAGATTTATTTATTTGACAGAGATCACAAGGAGGCAGAGAGGCAAAGAGAGCCCGACATGGGGCTCGATCCCAGGACCCTGAGATCATGACCTGAGCAGAAGGCAGAGGCTTTAACCCACTGAGCCACCCAGGCGCCCCTTTCTCCATCTTTTGATACGATTCCTCAATACTGGTGAGAAAGCTAATTCCAAAGTTGGTCAACAATGCTTACGTTTTTATACAGCATTATTATTTCCTTAGAATTTATCAATCCTAGATCTAACAAAATTTGAAATGGGCTTACTAAGTATTGGTCTCCTTAACACAACCTGACCCACACATCTCATACCACCTTAGGGAGAAAAGTTACCAAGTGATTCTAAAGGGACATTTGACAATTCATAATTTTACTCTCACTACTGGAGGGAAGGGAATCATCACCCAATAGAGGCCAGGGATACTGAACCCCCTACAACGCACAGTACAGTTCACTACAACAAAAAATTATCAAGCAAAAAATGTGCACAGTATTTAGGTTGAGAAGTCCTGCTTTAAACCAAAAGTCTGGGGCACCTGGGTAGCTCAGATGGTTAAGCATCTGACTTCAGCTTAGGTCATGATCCCAGGGTCCTGGGATTGAGTCCCACATCAGGCTCCTGGCTCAGTGAGGAGTCTGCTTCTCCCTCTCCCTACTTATGCTCCCTCCCTGTGTCTCAAAATGAATTTAAAAAAAAAAAAAAAAAAAAAAAAAAAAAGCTCTGTATTAGATGTTTAGGTTTTACCGAAGGAGAATCTCAAGATATAGAAAACTCTCCCTTGACCATTTCTTCTCACAGCCAAAAAAAGGAGAGCAGATTATGACTTCTAAAGTAGTATTCACAAATAAGGATCCTAAGACACACTGTACAAGTTACTGATCCAGAACTAAGGTGTGGGCAGCTCCAATTAAGTCATACTTCTGGCGTGCAGTAAACTAAGAGAAAAATGAAGTCAGGTATTTGGTATAAACTTCAGTCCACAAAAATTAGTAAATCTGGACTTGCTATAGTATTTTTAAAAGTTCAACATTGTTCCTATAACAAACTATAGGTCACTCTTCACCCAAACTGAAAGAGAACAGTGTCCCTACAACTTCCACACCAGTTTAAAAAGACACAGGCAGGGCAGGATTAAGCATCTGGGATTGAGCCCCACATAGGGCTCTCTGCTCAGAGGGGAGTCTGTTTCTTCCTCTCCCTGCTGTTTCCCCTGCTTGTGTTCTTTGTCAAATAAAATCTTTAGGCACAGGACACCTGGGTAGCAGTCTGACTCTTGGTTTCAGCTCAGGTCATGATCTCAGGGTCCTGGGATTGCACCCTGCAGTCAGGCTCCAAGCTCACTTAAAATTCTCTCTCCCTCCCGCTCAGCCCCTCCTATTCATGAGGTCTCTCAGATAAATAAATAAAATCTTTAAATAAAATAAAAACTAGCTGCAAACCAGAGTAGCACCATAAACATTAATGACTGGCGGAGGCGACACCACTCAACCAAAATTCACAAAACCAACTACTGAAGGGCCGAGCTGTAATAGCTGTAGACAGAGAAGAATATCACCTCACAGCTTTCTTTATGTGTTAAACTTAACTGGACCCTGGTAGCAATTTATTATTTACAAAAAAGTCCAGGGGCACGTGGGTGGCTCAGTGGGTTAAAGCCTCTGCCTTCGGCTCAGGTCATGATCCCGGGGTCCTAGGATCGAGCCCCACATCGGGCTCTCTACGGAGAGCCTGCTTCCTCCTCTCTCTCTGCCTACTTGTGATCTCTGTCAAATAAATAAAAGTAAAATCTTAAAAAAAAAAAAAAAAAAAAAGTCCAACAGGCAATCAGGACCCACATTCAACTTACCCTAGGTTTGCTAGACTAACAGGAATGAGACTCATCAACTTAAAAAGATAGACAATGACTCTCTAAGCAGAAACTCACACATGCTGCCTACCTATTTTAATGACTTTTTTACAAAGGGAAGGCCCAGAAAGCCTAAAAAAATAAATACAGAATGACCGAAGGCCAGGATAACTATTTTTGCAGGAACAAGGTCCTGCATAATCTCCAATTTTTCTCTCCTACCCACGAAAAACTCCAAGACACTACAGAACTCTGGAGGAATGGGGTATCTCGGTACTAGTTTATCATGATGGTAACGCCTAAAATGCTGTCCACGTTTTAACCTTTTCAAGAGTGACTTGGTGGGCGCCTGGGCGGCTCAGTGGGTTTAACCTGGATCTCAGGGTCCCGGGATCAAGGCCCGAAGGAGGCGCTCAGCTCAGCAGGGAGCCTGCTTCCCTCTCTCTCTGCCTGTGTCTCTGCGTACTTGTGATCTGTGTCAAATAAATAAATAAAATCTTTTAAAAAAAGAGCGACCTGGTAAAACCTTACTTCTCTAAAAATCAAAATACAATCTTTCCTATCAGTAGAGGATGAGTTTAAAAAAAAAAAATTTATCATGTATCTCTTTTCCTCAACTGCTTTCTGGGAAAGGAGACAAATCCTAACACCCCCAACTAACAGATGTAACTAAGCGGAATTATCAGGCTACCAGATACAAACTAATACCCCTTTTAGTTTTGCTGAACAAGCTGAAAAGAGTACTTAACTGCAAGAGCATTCAAAATCCTCAAGTCAATTATGTTCCCTACTTTACTAGTGATCTAAACCCCATCCTTATCCTCATGTAAATCTCAAAGTGAGAAGTTCACATTTAAGACATTTGCTGTAAAAACATAAAATATTTCACTTGGCTAACAAAACTGTATTATGGCAAGAAAATAGTTTGCCCAAGATCTGACTTCCTGCTATTTTCTCATTTTTCCCAAACTCCCTTTTCCTAAACAGTGAAAAACACCTATACTTGATCCACAGCACAGGGCTGGCTGTGGATCACAGATTAAAAAGGCAGAATGAGGGAGCCTCCTTTTGAGGCTCAGTTGGTTAAGCATCTGCCTCCGGCTCAAGTCCTGAACCCAAGGTCCAGCTCACTGCTCAGCAGAAGTCCCTTCACCTTCTCCCTCCTCCCCTCTCCACTATGTGTGGCTGTCTTTCAAATAAATAAAATCTTAAAAAAAAAAAAAAAAAGAAGCAAGACGAAGCCAACAGTTAGAGTGGTATTATTAGGCTTTTTAATTTCCTGATTTCTGTAACTTAATAATAATGCTGTATAATCCTTTCCTGTATCCACTAAAAAAGGCAGGAAACAGCCTTTATAACCCCCAGTTCTGTCGGAGCATGAGTGGTGGGAAAATTATTTTAAAAGCCAGCTACAATATAGTGCGGTAATACAGGAAGGTCAGTTGAAGGAGTGAAGTCCTTTTAAATAGCTGTATAAAACAGATTCTGGATCAAGAGATGAGGTACCAGATTGGGGGGGGGGGTGGAAACTACTGTCAATATTCCTATTCAAGCATCTGAACTCCTATAAAGAAAACTACGGCTATAGTATTTTAGAATCATAATCTCAAGCTCCCACTTTCGGTTAAACAAAGAACACTTTGCTTCAACTCTCAAAAATATAAAAAGTACCCCCATCAAGACCCTACGCTCACACACCAAGTTGCACTTCAGTAACTAACGCGGCAATGATACCCCTGCTGGAAGAATCCAGCTAGCTGTGTTTACTTGGCTACTTCCTAGATGGAAAACAGTCTCTCCCCACGTGCTGCGTGGATCAAAGGTTGCCTCTGACTTCTGAGTAGATGTAACGCTATTAAAATGCCTTCCAGGTTACTTACACTTGACAATGCTCTGTATTCTTAAGGGTTCCCCCCCCCATTTTCTGTCAGAAAAACTTTCTTTCATGGTGATGATTCCGCACGTTATGCGTCTCGTACCCACCTTTATTAATACGAAATTAGCAAGTGTAAAAGACCAATGAGAGACCCCTCTCAATCTTTAATTGGCCACAGTAACCCGAACTTATTGCATTATCTTTTAGAACTCAAGATTTAAGGGGCATGGGGATAGCTTACACAAACAGGCAAGTTTTTAAAAGGAAAACTAAGTTTAACAAGTATTTTAGTACCTACTAAAAATGATGAAATTCCCGCAGTGACGCATTTGGCGTTTATAAAGTTCTAAAGAACACGCTTCAGATTTGATTTGATGGAATTTCCCCAGTATTTGGGCCAAAAAGCTTTCCCAAGAGGGGGAGGGGTGAGAGGACGTTGGGGGGGGACTGGCAGTTCGAAGGCAACAGAACCAAAATATGCCATTTACTGCACGTCAAGTGCATTTCACGTTCACCGTCAAATCCTTACAAAGCCAGAAGCTTTCCTAACTTTTTACGTGAGAGTACTTTCTCGTGTCTCCAGAGAGGAGCTCCAAAGACCCGCCAAGCGCCTTCCGTACCCGACACCCGGGCGTGTGCTAGCAGAGACCGGTCCCGCGACGCCGGCTCTAGCCTCGGGTCCGCAACCCTCAAAGAGGAAGGAGCAAAGGGCACGTGGGGTCCGGCGGGAGCCTCCGCGTGGCGGCGGGGGGTGGCCTTTGCGGACAAACAGGGCTGCACGAGCAGCCCTCAAGGGGTAAGGGAAGGAATGTAGGGCTCCAGGAGGTCGGCGTGGCCTCCCGTCCTGGAGCATGAGGGCGAGGAGGGCCTCACCTTGCTGCGGTCCTCCTCCTGCTGCTGCAGCAACTCGGGAACCGCGGCCATGGCGACGCGGGCCTCGAGCGTGGGCCGCCTGGCTGTGCGAGGAAAGAAGAAGCTGGGACGCCGCCGCCTCCGGGGCGCCTCTCAGGGGCGGCCGCGGCCCCGCCTCCGCCAGCCTCCCTGCCCGACGGCGGCGGGAGGCCTCCAGATTCCGCCACCATCCCAGCAGCCCCGGGAAAGGCCAGCAGCGCGACACGTGCTCCCCCAGGGCGGCCTCCCCCGTCCCCGCTGCCGTCCATCTTGGAGCCGGGCAAAAAAGCTACGCGTGGCCTACCCTCGCTCCGGGCCACGCGGAAACCGCCAACCGCAGGGCCGCGACAAGGATTCGGAGCAACGTGAACCCTCTCAGCAAGGCGCGTCTCAAGAAAGCCCGCGCTCTAGCGCGGGGCAATTTATTACTCAGCCAGAGTTCAAGATGGCGACGGGCTGTGACGTAAACAAGATATCGTGAGAGCGTAAGGGCGCGATTTGACAGAACGCGCGCTAACTCCGGAGGGGAGGGACTCCCCAAGGATCGCGGGAGTGTCTACGGCGGTGAAGGAGAGGCTAGCTGCAAGGCGTCCCCGGCGCGGTGCAAGCGGGGACCGCCGCCCCTTAGGCGGGGCCTAACTCGATCTCTGAGCGCGGGACCGGGGAAAGTACGGGTCTGCAGAGGTTGTGGGCGCGCTGGAAGTTGAGTGAAGTCTGGTGGCTTCAGAGGTACCTTTCCTGGCCGAGAGCTGGCTTCTGTTTAAGCTGTTTCTTCCCTAATCCTGATTCCCACAGCAGAGGCCCCAGCTGTCCGGTCCACATGTAGGACCGTGGTTCCACATGTAGGGCGTGGTTCCAAATGTAGGGCGGAGCGGGAGGCCCCAGTCTTGGAATCACGATGATGGGCCCCGCTGACCGCTGCTTACCCGCGCTTTCCTGGTGGGACCGTTCGGAAGCTCAGTTTCCGAGTCTGTAAAACCGTGTCGCAGAAGTAACCACCTTAAAGGGTGCGGGAGTTTAGTGAGAAGTCTTCTCCTGGAATACTTAGCAAGCAGGGCGCCTGGTATCTAGGTAGGGATCAGTGGTTCACCTTGACCGTCGTGGCCGCTATGGGACGGGCTGTGGCATTCTCTTTTTCTATATGTCTCACATGCCTCCCTTCTTAGGTGTCCCGATTCTTCGGATTGAATATTAGCGACGTCTTGCCCCAAGCTGTACTATTTCACATTTAACAAGTACTGGTCGTTCTGCCTATTAACGAGAGTCTTTCTTTGGAAACAGCATTGTCCATACATGTCGGAAAAGCTTAATGGACGCAGGTTAATGTGCCTTACCGTACTGATGCAGTTTCCATTTTAGCCGTTCAAATATTTAATGCATTTGGTATCTAACTCCACTTTTCTCTTTAATAGGAGTGCAAAGATAAAAGGCCCTCAACATTGCAAGTAGACTAGAGGGAAGTGAGAAAGCATCTAAAGATGAAGGCGTTTCAGACCATCTGCAGGCAGCTTAGAAGTTCAAAGAGGTTTTCTCTAGAACCAACCGCCCATGTGGATTTCTCCACTTCCTCTTACTCATGCAGCCGGAAGAAAAAAGTGAATCCTTATAAAGAAGTGGACCAAGGAAAGTACTCTGATTTAGTACAATCTGTCTTGTCATCCAGAGGCCTTGCTCAGACTCCAGAATCATTGTTTGAGGAAGATAATTTACTTTATGGACCTGTGAGTAAGTGTAAGCCCCCTAAGCAAGATGAAGAAGCAAGAGTTCCACGAAACTGGTGTCCTCTCTTCAATCCAGAGAGAAGCATAAAACTAAACGCAACAAGTACTCCTACAGTTCCTTTGAAAATCCCTTTGCAAAGAAATACAACACGTAGTGTCACCAAGATCCTTCAGCAGACTATGACATCAGAACAGCTTTTCTACTTGGAGAGGTGGAAACAGCGGATGATTCTGGAACTGGGAGAGGATGGCTTTGCAGAATATTCTTCAAGTAATTTTCTCAATCCTGGTTCTGTATGGTTACTGTGTTTTCTAGACTATAGAGCACCAGGGTCAAAAGAGTGAGGGTGTTTTTGACCTAAACTAGTGAGACGCTGCTTTCAGATGATAAGTAGCATTAAATAGCACTTAATCTGTATTAACTCAATCATCATAACAACCCTATGCAGCATATATACTATTATTCTCATTTCAGATGAAATGAAACTGAAGACAGAGAGCAAGTAGTTTGACTAAATGATGTAGAAAATTCTTTTATAAGCTATAAACTTAAGTATTAAAGTTGCCTGTTTTCTTTGATTAAGGAAAACAGTCACCTGATAATGGAATTCTACTTGTTTGCTAGGCATTCTCTTCAGAATGCAGTGACTACCCCGGCTCTACTTATCCTCATTGACATGTAAATTTAAAGACAAGGGGTAAACCGGAGCACATGATTTGTATTTAGATTTTGGTAAACTGAAATAATCTGATGCTCTTGTTTAGTAACTGAGAACAAATAAACTTAAGCTTTCAACTCCTAATACTAACTTCTTAGGTGAGGAGAATAGCTTCCTTAAAACAGGCTTCATTCAAAAGCAAGGTGAAAGACCATTGGCACAGGTGAATTAGCTGGTCCCATCAGGATTATATAGTTGTCTTTTATTAAAGCTAGGTTTTTTTGGTTGATCATTCCTTAGCCCATGCTTCCCTGAGAGCAGTACGTATACCCCTAGTGGCTGGTAGAGAGCACTTTTAATTTTGAGAGTAATGCACTAATTTTGTGGCACCTTAGAAAAAACTGTGTGTGGGTAACACATTAAACATGTCACATACGTTAAGCATATAGGCAGCACCTGCGTATGTCAAAAAATGGTTAAGGTCCTCATCCTTTAGAACATTCCTCAGCTGTGGTGGGAGAGGACCATATGTAGGAGCTAACTGCCTTTAGGTAATAAGTAACAACCACTAAGCTATTTTTTGCTTTCTAAACAAGCAGCATAAAATGAAATCTGATGGCATCTTACTTTTCATATTTTGTACCACTAGGATTTAGACTTGACATTATTTCCTCATGGGAAGTTGTTTTTGATTTTCCTTGAACCTGGAATATCATAGTTTGTGGGGATGCTGAAATCACAGATAAGTAAAGGCAGAAACCTGCTAGGAGTTTGGGAACCTAGGACTTTGTAGCCCTTGGCTCAAAGTAGAAAAGCACTCTGGAGGCCTCCTTGATAAAGGAAAGGAATTTCTGTTGGGAATGTGAAGGTGCTTCACTATCCCAAGCAGAAATAAAACAATGGTTGTTTTCCATATAATTCACTTTGTTGATCTAGATTATTACTCTGACGTGTTTCTCAGAATCAATTTTAAGAAACAGGCAGAATCACTTTTTTTCATAAGGGGCAATCATGTGAGGATTAGGGTCATGCTCCCCCCCACCACCAATAAAGAAGGGAAGAAAAGGAAGAAAAAGCATGTCATAGCCCACTAAATTGATTAATGGGTCAGGAGAGGCAGTTTTTAAAATACGGTATTGGTAAATTCTTTTCCCCCTGCTTTTTCCAAAGGCTAGAGCATAGAGATGTGCCTGGAGCTGGCATTCTCAACATTTGGTCAATTTCTCAAGTATCACTTTACCTTTTGAAGATTGCCAAAGATAAAAAAGTCCGACTTGGATTTATATTTAAGTGTTGATCATAGTGGGAAGGGGTGGAGTTTATTTTTTCCAGTTTATTACTAAAAATAGTTACTTTTTAATCTTAAAATGTTATCCATCCTGCCAGTTTATCAGTCAGAATCTTGGAGACTCATGGATTTTTTTTTTCTCTTAAATGCACGTTATATACTGGGACTTGAAAACATTTCATTTTCATTCCTTTAATTTATTGAATGAATATTCTGATGATACTATCTGCAATAAATCTTGTGCTTTTTAAAATTTACTTAGAGGCACCTAGATGGTTCACTTGGTTAAGCATCTGCCTTTGGCTCAAGTTATGATCCCAACATCCTGAGATCAAGTTCTGTTTCTGGCTCCCTCCTCCGTGGGGAATTTGCTTCTCCTTCTCCCTCTGCTCCTTCCCCCTGCTCTCCTTGCTCTCTCAAATAAATGAATAAAATCTTAAAAAACTACTACTAATAAAATTTACTTTGACAAATTCAATCATATTTCATGTTCTGAGCCTTACAATGAAGGGGGCCCCAAATCTAGATTCCATTATTTCTTGCCTCTTACATGTGATGGACCTAGCTAAGGGTTAAGTCTGAAGTAGAAAATTGTTTATTTGCTTGGCAATTGATAAAACAGTTTGTTTTCTTCCTGTTTTGACCATGTTTGTGTTCTGCCTCATTAAACTTGTCTATAGATGAATGCTGTACTTTTACCTAGATTTTAATTCCATCTGTCTTAAATTTCTTGTAGGCCTTTCACATGCAAATAAGTCCAGTTGAGCCAAGTAAATTTGGAGTATAATAGCTCAGTTCTTCAGTTGAATGTCATTTAACTCTCCAAGTAATTTCCCAGAAGTGATTCTATTTTTTGACAGTGATAGAACTGACCTTTCAAAGTCTTGGTAAAAGAGAATTTGACAAATGTAATATATGCATTGAAATTACCTTACTAGATCAGATTTTCCTAATTTTCTATGGGTCTGTCTCCATGCATATATATTTCCTACTCTAATCCCTAATTTTGCCTTCCTCATTCTGTTGTATGATGGACTGGAATTGAACATGGACTCTGGTGCCAGGCTGCTAGTCTGCCTTTTTGCTTTGCGGCAAAGCATTGTGTAGGCCTCATTCATTAAACTGGGAGTCATGATTGTTACCTTGCTGGGTTGTTGTGTTTGAAAGTTAAATAATATTTTGAAAGCACCAAGGCCACTTCTTAGCACAATGCCTTCTCTTTGTTTCCTTCCCTTGTCAAGGATGAAGTGAATATGTACAATTTCTTGGATTTGTTTGTATTTTCTTAACTTAAAAATGTATGAGGCTATACAGATACCAAATCATTATGTTGAATGCCTGAAATGAATACAGCCTTATATGTCAATTACATATCCAATTTTTCTTAAGCATATGAGGAAAAATTTCAGGATAGAGCAACTGTCTTAACCTGTTTCAGTCCCCCCAAAAAGTGCAGAAGAGTGTTACATATATCCTCTTACCCCCAAGCCCCAAAACCTGCAGTTTGTTTTTAATTTGTATGTGACTTGATTTTTATTCCTTGCCATTCATTAGGCCTGTTAGTGAAAGGATTCCCCCACTATGTTCATTAATTTGGTGTTGGTTGTAAAAAGAACTGTGAAAAGAGGCACAGTTCCTTAACTTTCTAATGATTATTTCTCATAACCAGTTAAGTTACTAAAATGGATGCTTAAATTCATAATATGATACACTAGGTGTTGCCCTAGATCTTCACCTGTAGCTTTGGCCTAATTCTACTAGAAATTCTTTATTTTGATTCTTTTTATTGTTCAAACTATTTTAAGTCCCTTTACTTTTTTTTTTTTTTTTTAAGATTTTATTTATTTATTTGACAGAGATCACAAGTAGGCAGACAGGAAGGCGGGGGCGGGGAGGGGGGGAGACAGGCTCCCCGCAGAGCAGAGAGCCTGATGTGGGGCTTGATCCCAGGACCCTGAGATTAGGACCTGAGCCGAAGCCAGAGACCTAACCCACTGAGCCACCCAGGCGCCCCTTAAATCCCTTTGCTTTTCAAAGTACATTCTTAGATATCACAAGAGGCTAAAATGTGGTATCTTAGCAGTTGTCACTTAAAGATAATTCACATAATTTCTAATTTTATTGTTCAGAGGTTTTTAAGTATTTGTTTTTTAGACTAACTTTGTTCTTGTTTGTTTTTTCCCCTGATTTTCTTTTCAGACATATTTTTACAAGGGAAACGGTTCCATAAAGCCTTGGAAAGCATACTTGCACCTGAGGGGGACTTGAAGGAAAGAGAAGAAAATCTCGAATCTGGATATATTGAAAGTGTCCAGCATATCCTGAAAGATGTCAGTGGAGTGCGAGCTCTTGAAAGCGCTGTTCAACATGAGACCCTAAAGTATGTAGGTCTACTGGACTGTGTGGCTGAATATCAGTAAGTATTAGATTTTTTTTCTATCAAAGTGTGGAGATAAAGTAATGCGGGGTGGAACAGATAACGCCTGTCAAACAGTATTTTTTCCTCTGAACTCCTGCTTCAAGGTACAGCCCTGTGAAGTCAAAAACCTCTATGATACATAAAAGAATTGAGTACGGGGCAGGAGATAAGAGATACATGGGGAAGAGCCTCATAATTCTTGTAAATTTGTGTTCCAGAATCAAAGTGTTTGGTAGAAAAAAGGTATAATTTTTCCATATGCAGCACGTTCCTCCTTCCCTACTCCCAAGCAAGCTACTAACCACTCGATCCAATTTGATGGGGCACCCAAGTGGCTCAGTCGGTTAAGCGTCCAACTCTTGATTTTGGCTCAGGTCCTGATCTCAGGGTCATGAGATTGAGCACTGGGTCGGGTGTGTGCTGAGTGTGGAGTCAGCTTAAGACTTTTCTTCCTCTCCCTCTGCCCCCACCCATCCCCCTGCAACTCATGTGCATGCTCTCTCACTCTTTCTCTCTCTCTAAAATAAATAACTTTAAAAAAAAAAAAAAGATCCAATCTGATTCCTGCATTTTCTTTCCCATTTCCCTAAAAATAGCACCTTGATCTGTTAGCCCTGAAAATCATTTCTTTTCCTGGCTTCCAGGTGGTGGTTGACATGGGTAGGGACTCTGAACTTACTAAAGCTTTCTGTGATTTTTAAATTGCTGCTACGTTACTGTTTTTCCCACTTATTCCAGATTCCAAGGGGAGCTGTAACCCGCAGATACCCTATTCCAAAAAAAAAAAAAAATATATATATATATGTATATATATATGGGCAACACACCAGGATAGGTAAAAACCTGTGAGTGTAACTCTTGGAACTCTAGTCAAAATTTAAATTTTTAAAAAATTGACAGAATATTCATTAGTCTGGAAACTGTTCAGGGTACCTAACAGTTTTGTGCCATAACTGCCTCATATCTGAGAAGAGCCCTGTGTGCCTAGAAATTTAATAGGCTATTTTTTGTTGCCTTTTAGATTAACCAAGGTAGCCATACAGTCAGTTCTACCTAAGGCCTTCAAGAAGTTCCTGACACAGAGGGGGCCTGGGTGGCTCAGTTGGTTGGGTGTCTGCCTTCAGCTCAGGTCATGATCCCAGAGCCCCTGATAAAGTCCTGAGTTGGGCTCCCTGCTTAGCAGGGAAGCTGCTTCTCCCTCTGACCATCCCCTCTCTCGTGCTTTCTCTCTCTCTCTCAAATAAATAAAATCTTTAAAACAACAACCAAAAAAAACCACAACAAAATCAAAAAAAGAAGTTCCTAACACCAGACACTTCACAGTGCTGTCCACAGTACTGATGATTGTTTTCTGCTCTTCGAGTGGAAAGGATCAACATTGAGAATATGTCCATTGAATATTTTTGGAAATTAAGGTTTCAGAAATTTTTAAAACATTTTTAATAGGTAATATATGTGGTTAACCCACACTACTAAAAGTAAGTCTCCCATTTCCACTTTTTCTTTAAAAAAGGTTTTAATGTGGTAAAATATATGTAACATAAAATTTGCCATAAACTTCACCATTTTTAAGTATACAATTTATTACCATTAAATACATTCATGATGTTGTACAACCATCAGTACCATCTCCAGGACATGTCATCTTATAAAACTGAAATTCTGTGCGCATTAAACAGTGATTACTATACTCTCCCCTGCTTTCAGCCCCTGGCAACCACCATTCTACTTTTGGTCTTTATGAATTTAACTACTCTTTGGTACCTCATATGAGTAAAATCAAAGTATTTGTCTTTTTGTGACTGACTAATCTTTATCCTTGTGCTTTGATGCACAATTTTTAGAGCTTTTCCTGTAAGCCAATTGGTGTATTTTGTTGTTGTTGCCTGTGCCTTTGGTGTCACATTCAGTAAAATCACCACCAAATCCAGTGTCATTAAGCTTGGGTCCTATGTTTTCTTCTAAGAGTTTTATGTAGTTTTAAGCCTTAGTTTTAAGTATTACCTTTAAGTCATGGATCCATTTTGAGTTAAATTTTTTATATGGTGTTAGGTAAGAGTCCAACTTTATTCTTTTGCGTGTGGATGTCCAGTTTCCCCAGTACCATTTGTTGAAAAGACTGTCCTTTCCTCATTGAATAGATGTGGTGCCTTTGTCAAAAATCATGTGACAGTGTATGTGAGGGTTTCTGGGCTTTCTATTTATTTCCATCAGTCTATGCATCTGTCTTTATACAAGTACCATACTATTTTAATTACTCTAGCTTTGTAGTAAGCTTTGAAATTAACAAGTGTGAGTCCTCCAGGTTTGTTTGTTTGTTTGAGGGTTATTTTGGCTTTTCAGAGTCCCTTTTAGATTCCATGTGGATTTTAAGATTAGTTTCAATTTGTGCAAAATCGTCATTGAGATTTTTATAGATTGTATTAAATTTGCAGATCACTTGGGGTAATATGAACATCTTAAAACTATTACATCTAATCTGTGAATATGGGGCATGTTTTCATTTAGGTCTTTAATTTTTTTAAATTTTTCATTTTTTTTCAACAGTGATTTGCAGTTTTCATTGTGCAAGTCTTCAGTCTCCTTGGTTAATTCCCAAGTATTTTATTCATTTTGATGTTATATGGAATTGTTTTTGTAATTTCCTTTCCATATTGTTCATTGTTTATGTATAGAAATGCACTGGACTTGTGTGTTGACTTTGTATCCTGCTACTTTGGTGAATTTATTTATATAGTCCTACCAGTTTTTGTGTGTATTCTTTAGAATTTTTAACATAAAAGATCATTCATCTGTGAACAGAGATAATTTTACTTCTTCCTTTCCAGTTTGGTTGCTTTTTTATTTCTTTGTTTTGCCTAATTGCCCTGGCTAGAACATCCAGATCTGTTAAATAGACGTGATTAAAGCAGGCAGCCTTGCCTTGTTCCTGATCTTAGAGGAAAACCTTACAGTCTTTCACCATTGAGTATGCTGTGGGCTTTTCATATGTATATGGCTTTTATTATATTGAGGTAGTTTTTTCTATCCCTAGCTTGTTGAGTATTTTTTTCATAAAGGGTATTTCATTTTGTCAGATGCTTTTTCTTCATCAGTTAAGATGATTAAATGGTTTCCTTCATTCTATTAATAAGGCATATAACATTAGTGGATTTTTGTGTTTAACCATCCTTGCATTCCAGGAATAAAGCCCACTTTGTGATGCTGTATGATTCTTTTAATAAGTGCTGAATTTGATTTGCTACTATTTTGTAGAGGATTTTTACAACTTTGTTTGTAAGGATTATTCTGTAGTTTTCTTGTAGTGCCTTTGTCTGGCTTTGGTATCAGGGTAATACTGGATTCATAGAATGAATTACAAAGTTCCCTACTGTACAATTTATTTGGGAAAGTTTTAGCATTGGTATTAGTTATGTAAATGTTTGGTGGGATTCATCCATATGAAATCATCAGGTCTGGAGCTGTTAGTTGCCAGGATATTTGATTACTGATAAAATCTCCTTTCTAATTATAGAGCCGATCAGATATTCTATTTCTTCATGATATAGTCCTCGTAGGTTTTGTGTTTATTTTCATTGATTTTTTTTCCTATTGATTTTCTTTTTTTTTTCTTTTTTTTTAAGATTTTATTTACTTATTTGACAGAGAGAAATCACAAGTAGGCAGAGAGAGAGAGGAGGAAGCAGGCTCCCTGCCAAGCAGAGAGCCCGATGCGGGACTCGATCCCAGGACCCTAAGATCATGACCTGAGCCAAAGGCAGAGGCTTAACCCACTGAGCCACCCAGGCGCCCCTCCTATTGATTTTCTATTCTGAATTTCATTTGTCTTTAATCTCTTTTATTTTCTTCTATAAGTTTTGGGTTTACTTTGTTTTATTGGTTCCTTAAGTTGTAAGGCTAGGATGTTGATTTGATTCTTCGTTGTTTCTTTTTTTTTCTTAGATTTTTTAAATTTTATTTATTTATTTGACAGAGATCACAAGTAGGCAGAGGGGCAGGCAGAGAGAGGAGGAAGCAGGCTCCCTGCTGAGCAGAGTGCCCGACTCAGGACCTTGAGACCATGACCTGAGCCTAAGGCAGAGGCTTTAATCCATTGAGCCACCCAGGCGCCCCTCGTTGTTTTTTAATATAAATATTTATTGTTGTATAGCTTCCCTAACACTGTTTTCACTATGTCCCATAAGTTTTGGTATGCTGTGTTCTCATTTTTATTCACCTCTAAGTATCTTCTGATTTCCCCTGTGACTTCTTTGGTTGGTTATGTTAATTTCCACAAATTTATGATTTTTTTTATTCCAGTTCTACTTCTTTTACTGATTTCTGACTTAATTTATGGCCTAATATATGGTTTGTCCTGGAAAATGTCCTGGAATGTGCTTGAAAAGGTGTGTATTCTGTTGTTGGGTAGAGAGTACTGTATGTCCATTAGATCTAGTTGGTTTATTGTGTTAAGTCCTTTATTTTCTTACTTCCTACTGTCTGGTTCTGTCCATTGAAAATTAGTATCGAAGTTCTCCCACTATTATTATTGAACTGAATTTCTGGGGCACCTGGCTGGCTTTCTTGGAAGAACATGTGGCTTTTTTATCTCAGGGTCAGACCCCCATGTTGGGTATAGAGATTACATAAATAAATAAAAGTTAAAAAAGAACTGTATTTCTCCCTTCAATTTTGTCAGGTTTTGCTTTATGTATTTTGCTAACCTGTTACTAGGTGTGTAAATGTATATAATTGTTATACTTCTTGATATATTGAACCTTTTATTAATATATAATGTCTTTCTTTGTCTCATTTTTTTACAATTTAAAGACTATTTTTTCTGCTGTTAGAGCCACCTTTGCTCTCTTTTGGTTTTTATTTGCATGAGATATCTTTCTCTGTCTTTTCACATTCAGCCTATTTGTGTCTTTGGGTCTATAGTGAGTCTCTTGTAGAGAGCATATAGTTGAATCATGTGTTTTATCCATCCTGCCAATCTCTGTCTTTTGATTAGAGAA